ATTGGGAATGAGGCTGCACAAAAAAAAATATGATTTATTTATTTTCTGTATTTTTAATACTAATATGTGCACACATTAATTATATCATATGCATTTCAAGATACCATCTCCTGTGGTGAATGATATTTTATCTAATATGGACTGTTTATTTTATATAATAATAGCTTCTGGGTTTTGAGTTTTTCCTTGTATTAGAGTATTTTAGTGTTATCCACTAATAGCATCTATATTTATTTACAATATGATGAACAACACTCAAGTTGCAATGCAAAATCTGACCCCATTAGATTAATCTTTGTAAATATTTATAATAAATTTCTGTTTTTTTATTGTTCTCACTTCTTATTAATGTTTTTATTATATTCTTTCACATTTGGTAAGCCCCTGCATGTAGCTTTGTTTGGAGTGAAATAATGAAAAAACAAAAAAAGCAGATATTTAAGCTAAAATTCACATGGTGTATTCATTTTCTAAATCCAAGTTGATCCTGAATATTTTACCACCATTGATTAGTTAATACCATTGCTATTGGGTAAACCATAATTTACATTATAAAATTTGATTATGCATTTATATATGAGACGATGCTGAAAATTCTAGGACTAACCCACCTTACACCATTATATTTGACAGTTTTTTTCCTTGTCATAATGTTCAATCTTTTTTATTTTAGCTTTCATAATTAGTTTGTTGACATAAAATGTGACTTAATTTTTTTGTTACTTTTGGCAGAGATTCAACTGATATATTTTCTAGTTCTGAGGCACAATGCGCAACAGAAACATTTGTATTTTTCTCTTTCAGAAATTTATCTTTTGATTGATACATTTTCTGACCATTATAAAACTTTTCATATGTTGTCATCTGACAATGCTTTATGTAATAGACTTCTTGACCGTACATTCTGAAGCAATAAGGACTGTCCAATTGGGTCAACAATCTGTGCAGCCTTGAATGCAAAGGAAAGAGCTGAATTATACAAAATTGCATAGCCAGAAGCATTTTCATTTCTCTTCCTGTATTTTGTCTTTTGATTGGTTCATTTTCTGACCATTATAAACCTTTTCATGTGTTGTCTGTCATATGAAAATTGACCTGAAGAAATAAGGACTATATCCATTTGGGTCAGCATTCTGTGCTGCCCTGAATACAAAGGAAAGAGCTGGATTATAGATCCAATGTGTCTTTGAAGTTTCTTGTTATAAAATATAAGGTTGCTTAATTCCTGTAATAATTGATTCACATCCTATTGAGACTATAACAAAAGCTTTACTCTTTGGACAAGTTATTACATTTCCCATCTGATAAAATGTTGAATGAACCACAAAACCTGACAGTGCCCAGTTCTCTAAAACTCATGACTTTCACTTTCTTGAAATGTCTCATTACCTACTTTACCTCGCCTTTTAATTTCTTTGAAGAGAAGCAATCTTGTGTGTGACAATTTTTCTTTTATTAAACATAGCATGGCATATTTTGTACACAAAGCAATGGACACTGGATGTTATAGTGGTGTTAATAACCACCACACATTTTTACTTTTATATTTTACTAGTGATCACTTCAACTTTCAACAACTTTTATAGAAGTGAAATCAATTTTGTTTTTGTTAATTTTCAGCCTCACTAGTGTTTTTCTCTGGACTGTATTAGTTTATATTCCACTCCGTGACCTATACCCACAGGTTTTGGGTAGGTGAGAATTAATTGTTAGCTTTATATTTACAGAAACTTTTATTATTGCAAAACTGACTTGAACAAAAATAACCGTCAATTTCTCTAATGAGAGTGGACATTGGAATCAACATTGCATGGTCATTTTCATGCTTTAATCTGTGTGAAACACAAGCTCGTCAGCTATCTCTCAGTAAGCTCTGTGAGAGTTAAGTTTTTCAAGTTCTCTTTCCTTATCCAAGAAATTTCAGCTGTATCTTTCAGCACAATTGTATATAAAAAAAATCAATATAAAATAACAATCATATAAATCATAACAGAGCTTGTTGTTAAAAAATGCTGTTTGTCTTTCCACATGGAACAAAAATGTAGAGGATATTTGGTGATTCAATTTCTAAGGCAGCAATGTATAACTTGTTATGGGAAAAGCAGGGATCCTGCGAATATAATCTAGTTTCCTTGAGGTTTATTGATTGAGATGGCAAAATGCATTCTGACTAAGAACTACAACCTTTTAAAATCAAATGAGATGTCACTGTAAATAATTTGAACTCTGGAGCTGAACACAACTTCCCAGTTTTGTTGCTTCAGTCAAATAGCACATCAACTAATTATCAATCTTGTACCATTGCACAAACATAGAACATCTAAGTTCCTAAGAAGAATAATTGGTGCTACTTTCTGTGTGCTTGAGACTGTTAAGAAATTCAAAGAATTCACAGGTTTGTTTGAATCTGTAACAGTGTGAACTTTTGTATTTCTACAAAATTGTTGAAGCCTGTCAGTTTTGTCACTTATAACATCAGTTATTTGACTATTAAATGAAACATCCAAGTTCCTAAGAAGAAGAATTGTTTCTCCTTTCTATATGCTTAAGCCTGTGAGGTGGCATATCAGTTTGGCTTCAGACTGTTAAAAAATTCAGTTGTGTAATTCACAACTTTGTTTGGATCTGTCACAGTGTCAACAGACTTGTATACTTTTGTATTTCCATGCAAATGTTGAAGAATTTATTCAATTATCTTGTTAACAATGTGATTGATTGGGACAAGTATTGTTCTTTCACACAGTAATTGATGATTGTGGAAGACATTACCTTTGTAATCATCAATTAATGATGTATAGACCTAAGTTCATTCAGTGATATTGCACCATCACAATCAGCTACAACCATTCCATCCAACAGTCTTTTAGAAAAATAAATAAATAAAAAAGCTGAGCGTTTATCTTTAGAAAGTTGAGATCTCACGTTTCTTTCAAGTTTTTTTTTCTTGACAGTTTTCCACAAATGTGATGATTTCAAGTGGCACTTGATTTGATCAGTTCTTGTCTTTTCTGGAATATCTTAAAATATCTGATGAAAATCTTTGGCTAAAACTAATGTTATTCTGCAAGTAAAAAAACATTTGTTTTCCCTAACAACTGTAAACAACTTGTGAGACATAGTAAACTCATCAGAGATTATCACCTGTTTTAACACTTCTGTACACCTGTGCCTTGGCTAATGTCACAGGTTGCTGTGTAATTATTGGCAAGCTTCAATAGCAACTTAAGCATACTGTGAGCTGTTTTATCACTAAGAAATAAAGTGGCAGCAATACCTGATTATACCAAAGCTTCTGAAATTTTCACTTTGGTGAGTAATAGCTTTTAAGAATCATAAAGAGCTTTACGAAATAACAGAAACAACATCACGTGAGGACTTTTAGCAAAAATGAAAATGGATAGCATATGAAACTTTAAGTAAAAATAATAACAATCAAGAGGTTGATATTCCACACTGCTTCAAACAAAAGGTTAGGAAGGAAACCCCATCAATACTGGAAACTACTGGATTTGAGAGACCTATATTCCTGAAAAATTGTTTTAAGAGAAAGATTTTATAAATTTCAACTATATGCCAAATATTTTATTTCCTTCCTAACATTTTGTTTGAATGTGTGAAACATCAGTGTTGTGGTAAGAGCTACTTACCCTTCTTACTATCACGAATGGACTGGTCCATTCATGATAAGTAGACCTGGGTAGAAAGAAGAAGATAATACTGTTGCAGTGACTTGCCTAGCTGAGTACTGAATACTACTGTCATGACTGACTCTGTTGGGTTAAGTGCCAGACTCCACAACGCAACAGACAGCATTTTGACTATATGTCAATGGTTTAAAATTTTCTTTCTTGAGCTGTAATATTCTGAATCTAAACTGTCCGATGGAATTGGGTGATATAATATTTTATCAAAAGAACCCTACATGAAATTTTGGATTCAGTGAGTGAGCATGCATGTGCAGTAATTGGCTGTGATTGGTATCAATGTTCTATCAAAACTGTACCAGTAATTCTTGACATTTTTCAAAATGGTTGTATACTCTACAGACTGATATTGTATGTTATGGAAATTTGGGATTTGGCATTTAAAAAAAAATAAGAAAGAGATTCAAGATGAAAGGTTTATTGTTGCACTGAATATTGTTTAATATTTCTGTGGTTGAGTTACTTTGTTATCTTAGCATGAATCATAAGGTTTCACTTGGAATTGGAACTAGAGGTCTTGAATTACTTTGAAACAGCTCAGCCAAGCAGTTTGTACAGAGAAACAATCAATTTAGAAGCACATTTTCTCACTTGCTTACTTCTAAGGAGACTGTATGAAATATTTCCCAGCATATTTTTTTTTTTTCTCAAAAACATTCTTGGTTGATTATTTAACTACATTGCCGATTTCTTTTGAATTAAGAATTTAAGTATGGTAAGGTAAAAAGAGCGACTCTTTTGAAAATATGAAATAGCAGTAATGTTAATGGAGAAAAACTTAGCATTTTTTTCATTAGTTTAAAATTCATAATATAGGAATGAAAGTATTAAGGACTAACATATCAACTGTAGATTTATTTCAACTTCTATGTCTTCAAAATCAACCTAAAAATAACCAGAATAAAATAAATATATATTGAAACTTGTTCATTTTTCTCCTCCATCCACCATTTTTTTTAGTTGTTGAAGTTTTTTTGATAAAGTTCATACATTTGTTTTTAAGCATCTTTTACTCTAGAAAATATTCAAAATACATTTTGGTTTTCATCAGCTACAATTCAAGTATATATCATAGTGGTTTCAATATTTTTTAAAACCCAGACTTTGTCTTCATTTTTTTTTTTTTTGATTTTAGTAAGACAAGATATAAGCAAAAAGAAAAGCAAACAGTCCCTGCCATCAATATTTTGTGATATACTTTTTTTTTTTTTTTTTAAGTATTTCACTTGTACAATGAAGAACTTTTCTGTTTTCTATTCCCATTAATACAATAGACTGTTATTTCATCTTGATTGAATGATAGCACTGCCATTATTGACATGCATTTTGTGTTTTCTTCCATCTTTGCAGCCCTCAGATGACGAGCCAGCTGACAGTGACAGCAGCATACATACGATGACGTCTGAATCACAATTATCTTACGGCAAGCAAAGTGGTGCTATCAGGAAAGCAGGGTGAGTGAAATACAATTATTTACATTCTTATCTACAAGCTGAGTAATTTTCAAAAAAGATATTCCCACCTCCTCTTGTTTAATTACCATATTTTGGTGGTGGATATGAAGTATGTCCATTTCAGTTGGAGATGTTCAAAAACAGATTTCTGCCTGATAGTTAAAACTAAAGATTGACTTTCAGAAGTGTCTAAACTTTGAATAAGAAATGCGAGAAGATATTTTATGTTTTGTTTTGTCGTGATTGTTTTACAAAATCTGCAGCCAATATCCCATCAAAGGTAATACTGGAAGTTTTCTTTTAATGTAACATATTATCTGCCCTTATGCCAAACCCAACTAAAGATTAAGTGTAAATTAGATACATTAGGTTGGTTGATTTTATGACATTTCTACTCTTGCTGGATCGTTGAATGACAGTCAGTTGCTCTTTCTTTTTTTTAAACACAAAACTAAATATTCAAGTCAAATAGTGAAAAAAAAAAATAATTGTTTTAATGTTAGTCATATTATTAACTGCCAACAAGAACATTTCCCATAAATTTGTATTGTTTTACATACACACATACACACACACACACACACACACACACATATATATATATATATATATATATATATATATATATATATATATATATATATATATATATATATGAGAAAATGATGTATAAATTTTTATATACTAGAACAATGCTAGGAAAATTAATGACAGAGGGAAAAGATTTTTCAGGTAACGTGTTTCATCCTTTAGTCTGATGAAGTCCTACAGTATGAAACATGTCACACAAAAAAGTTTTTCCCACTTCGACATTAATTTTCCTAACACACACACACACACATATATATATAAATATTGGTTTTCTTTTTTTTTCCATATTAAATATTATTTATTATTACTATATGTATATTTACTGGATACATGTGTTGGAGTTTCAGATTTTTTTAAAATGATAAATAAAAAAAAAAAGAATCTAGTGTATCCACTTAACATAATCTATATAGTAATTATATATATATATATATATATATATATATATATATATATATATATATGGTATAACAGTATATAATTCTTATCATGAACAGTTTTAGGGGAAAGAAGTATGACAAAGTGGAAAAAGATTTTGTGTGATACATTTTGTTCTTTAAGACGTTATTGGACTAAATTTATATTTACATTGATGTGACTACACATGCTGACAAACAAAAGTGAATTCTTTTTCTTTTTTAATGTGTTTTTGGTATATAGTTGAGCCAATTACATTCATATTCTTTTTCTTTATATTTTTATCATTTTTGTTATTAAATATCCCACATTGTGATAATAGAAGATCTGCAAAGAAAGGTGAAACATTGTAAGAATCTGGATGCACACATACATACATGCACAGAGTGTTTTGGTGTCAATCTGAGGACAGTGCAACAGATTTGGAAAGAGTTGGATGAGTCTAATGGTGATACTGAAGGTACAGCAGCTTGGAAAACTCACTCTGATCATTCTGATAAGAATAGAACACCCAAATTTCTTGGTGAGGGCCTCAGACTCAATATGGAGTCTTAGACCAAGAGGGTGGCTGCTGGAAGACCCTATGTCTGGCATCAGAACTCTGTACCATGCCACACAAGCAGAAGAACCCATGGTCATCAGACAATTTCAGTGACCACATTACCCCTTAAATCTGACCACCTAACTCCACAGACTGCACCCCACTTGATTATTATGTGTGGCGCCCAGTTGAGCAAGAGACCAACAAAACTCCTTGTAATACCAAAGATAAACTGGAGGCAAGGATTATGGCAGCATTCACCAACTTAAACAAGGAGACCATCCAGAAGAGCTGCAAGAGATTCCAAAGTCATCTAGAAGCTGTGGTTGTAACCAATGGTGATTTTATTGAATAAATTTACTCTTTAGTATTTCAAGATATTTTTGTGTAGTTTTGGTAAATATATCTGTTAAAATGAGATGTCAGTGCTATTTTCATTTTTGCATAATTTAGATGACAATTTATCCATCGCACCCTCTGTGTGTGTGTGTGTGTACATATATTATTAAATATAACAATATTGCTAGTATTGATAGCTTGCATTATTATTTTATTTTATATATAACATTAATTTGTTTGAACCCATTTGTTCATGTTTGTTGTTTTTATCACAACATTACAGACCTTCCTTACATTTCTGTTGCATTTAGCATTTTTTCAGAAATGTTGAATGAAACTGTTTATTCATTCTACGTGTTTGTACTGTTCTCATTTCTTTCACACCTGATGTCCTTTCCTTGAGGATTATTCTATTATGCCTGATGTTGTTTCCTTGAGAATTAGTTCTCCTTTATGCTGACAATACTCTTCACTGAGGTGTTCTATAATTTTGTACCAGTTGAACCAGTAATTGAATCTATGACTTTTCAAGGAACCAGATGGGATTTCTGACAGCATCTCTATCCACTAGAACATGTCATATAGTAATGAAAACCATGTGGGCTGACTTAAGCATCTGTTTCATTGGCTAATGCATGAGACTTCCGTCAGTGTTTTCATTATCCCTATTATTTGGATTTCCTTTCAGAGAAGAAATGGGTATTTTCTATAGAGAAGTTATTAGAGAGTATATCTATGTATTGATTGTCTTTATCAGCACCCATTCACATCTAAGTATCAGGATTGTCCTCCTCTCTCCCTATTCCCTTTCTCTCTCTTGGTGGCAGTGAGAGTTTTGATTTTGGTGGACAACTCTGCACAGTGGAGAAGCCCACAAACTTGACCAGAAGTGCCTCCCTCATGACTCAAAGGGAATTGACACAGGCAAGATCTGGCAAACCTGGTTGCATTCAGCCCTTGCATACTTGGTCAATCAAGGACCATCTTGTTTATGTCAGCCTGACTAACGCTGCCCTCTTCCACCTGTTTGACTATTGAGATCATGTAGATCTTTGCCTATTCCACAGTTGGGATCTTTGAGGATTGCTCACGTTCTGTCTGGTCCCTCCTCCTTGACTTTATCACCATTATTTGTGTATATATTATATTGTTTATGTTATATAGGTGCTGAGAAATTAGCCCTATCCTTGAGGGATATAAAAATGCCATATACAAAGAGGGAGTAGAAATTCAGGTATAGCAGACCATATCTGGAGAGAGAAGGGTATGTGCACATTAACCTCTGGGATGAGGTCCAACTAACAGATAGGAAACATTACTATAGAGTGAGAAAATGTTTAAAAAAAATAATCTTCTGTTGGCTTTAACGAATTATTCCAAACACTAGTGACAACAACAAAAGCATCACAAAGAATAAGTCATACTTAACAACTCTAGAATGATAATGACTCCTCAAAATTATAAATTTGAGGATTGTGTTTTGTTTTGTTAACCATTTCACTATTGTAAGGCAATAGTGCCACTAAAATGCAAGGGTTTACTGAGGATGAAATAAAATGAGAAAAACATCAGTGAGGAGAAAGGGCAATAAAAGAACAGGTATCAGGAAGACAGAAGATGGTGGATGATGTTGCATTTAAATTTTCGAAAATCATAGGTGGAAGCAAGAAACCGAAAGAAAGTTCCAGAACTGAAAAATGTGAGAAAAGAAAATATCAGAATAGCATTTACAGTTATATTAAGCTATTTCAATAATAAAACAATAAGACCTATTTGTCAATCTAGTACTCTGCTTAAATACAAGCAGTTGAGCTACCTTAGAGGAAAGCTCATCATTTCACTCCAAGCAATGCAATAAAGCCACTAAAACACAAAAGACTACTAAGTGTTAGAGAATATGAGAAAAAAATACTATTAATTAAAAGAACAAGAATTAAGAAGACACCAGATAACAATTGACATTGCATTTAAATTTTTGAAGATCAAAGTTAACAGGAAAGCAAGAAACTGGAAGAGTTCCACAAGTGAGAAGTACAATAGAAGAAACTATTAGCATAGAATTTACACTTACATCTAACCATTTCAACTGTAAAATGATAAGATCTTGTTGCCAATCTAGTACTTCACTTAAATTCATAAAGCCTAGGTTTCATTGAGGAACGTTCATCAGAACAATTATCATGAAAATATTTATAAAAAAGAGAAGGAAGCCACATTACAGCAGTGTGAAAGTGACTGAAGTCAAGATGCCAGGTCAGGACCAATAACATTGTAAAACCCTTTTTTGAATTTCATTGAGAATCTGGATATATACAACAGGAGCACCTGATCATATGTGACAACAATATTCAATGCATGGATGAATGGTAGCTTTATAAATGTGCAAGATAAATTCTGTAGATAAAAATTACCTAGCACAACACAGTGATCTAGCTTTTCTAGCAACTGGTTCAATATAATAATTCTACTTAATTTCAGTGGAAAATGTCAGATTGAGAAAGTGTCATATGTTGCTGTCTTGGAGGCTGGCATCAGCCAAGAAAGGTTCTCTCAGATGATTAAAAGCAAGAGCTGTTTCATTCTGGCGACATTAAAATTAACAAGCCATTTCTTGTCTGAGATTAAAGGTTATCTTTGAGATCATATGCCAGTTTTACTTTATCAGACATATCAGAGTTACTATTAAGAGAGAAGTAAATAGTGTCATCATTACCAAATTGGGAATGGATGATATTGGAAATGTCATTGATGAAGATAAGAAACAAAGTAGGACCAAGAATAGAGCCCTGGGAGACCCCACATTAATGTGAAAGGAACTAGAAGAGTGGCTATTCAATATGACTTTCATTACACAATTTGTGAAGAAAGATTGAATCAAATCAAAAATTTTAACTGAAGACACCATAGCCCTTGAGCTTGTAATTTAACAGCTGTTAATTTAAATGTAATTTTAAGGATTCATTGATTTAAAAAAAAAAAAAAAAAAGTCTAAGATATATCTCTTAATCTTTTTAAATTCATAATTGAAGTTGTTTATGATTATAAAATATTTGAAATATATTTCCTGTAAGTCGTATCTGTATGCCAAAATATTAATACCAATTTTGCAATA